TGAAACTGGAACACGTCCAGTTCATGCTTCTCTATAGCTGAACAAAGGGTCTCATTAATTAACACAATGAGTTAGAAGGTGCTCTGCTGAGGAGCTGAATCACGTGACCATCCCTCAGGTTCTTCTGCTGGACACCCGGTCCTGCAGCTTCTCCTGTTTCAGGTCTGAAATGGACCAAATGGCACCAATGGAGGTTCTACAGCTTCATTATCTGACATTTAATATGATAGTTTTGATGGTTTTTAGTGTCTTGATTATGAATGTTTTCTGTTTTAGAGTCTCTCCTGGAATAAAACACCTAAATCAGAATCAGATTTGTCACCAGGTAGAGTTCACATCATACGAGGAACTGGTTCTGGTGGGTCGGTGCAACAATGAGTACAGAATAAAATAAAATAAGTGTAATAGTGTAAATCCCGCTGAGATCAAGGTGTTCAACGTTCAGCTCGTCCTTCATGTCAGAAGCTCAAACAGCTTGTTGCTGCTGCAGCAGCTTCTGGTTCCGTCTCTGATGAACTTCTGGATTTTCTTTCTTTATTCTACTTTGAAGCACAAATTTAGAACAAAGTCAAACATGTGATCCACAGTCACAGCTCGTGGAGCTGAACAAACCAAAACAAAACCTTTCTGACAACAACAACTTAAATATGAACCGAGCACCAACACACCGATAGAACCTCCTCAGAACCAGCCGCTGTCACTGACCAGATCAGAACAAACCAGACCTGTGCGTCCAAACACACCCCCGTCTGCGCGCAGCTCTCAGCCAATCACGTCCCTCCGCTGCCTCCACAATAAGTCCTGAATGAACAACAACAGAACCGCAAAGTCCAGCTCAAAGTTCACAGAGTCAGAAGAACCGAACCGAGTTTAATCCACCAACTGCTCCTGAGTCTGAGCAACACGGAGCTCACGGTTCTGCTGCTCGAACACCAGAAGCAGCAGAACTTCAGGGTTCTGGACTCTGAAGTGACGTCAGCCTGTTTTCTGTCCAGCAGACCTCCTCCATCAGCAGGAGCCCAGAGGAGGCCAGAGGAGGCCAGAGGAGGCCAGAGGAGCTCCACGTCTGGAGCAGGACGAGGAGAGAAGGAGCAGCTGCCACCAACCTGCGCTCTGAAGGTCCACCGAGAAGAAGAATGAAGCTCCGAAGCTCAATGAGACCGAACAGTGCTGCAGCTCAGCAGCAGAACCAGAGAGCCGCAAGACCTGGACCGGATCAGGACCGGATCAGGACCGGAGGGTTTCCTGCTGCTCCGCCACAGACCAGAGAATCAGAACAGAACCGCTAGAGCCGGTGTGTTCATATGTCTGACTGTAAGGACGGGATCTGATCGGGTCACAGGTTCTGGTTTCATCCTGAGTGTTAGAGTCAGTGTGAAGCAAAACGAGACCGACAGCTGCTGATGGTGTGAATGTTGATGCTTTTTGTCATTCAAGTCTTTAGTAAATTTATTTCTTCAGGTCAAGGAGGCAGACGACATGAAGTTGCTCCTAAAGTTGCTTTAAGTTGCTCCTGAAGTTGCTTTAAGTTGCTCCTAAAGTTGCTTTAAGTTGCTCTTAAAGTTGCTTTAAGTTGCTCCTAAAGTTGCTCTGAGCAGCTTCCTCGTTGGACTCATCAGTACAGAAGCATCAGACGGTTCTTCTGTCTGCTGCCGTTCATCCAGGAGCTGACATGTTGGACTTCATCACCTCTAGTTTGTGTTTGTTCTGTTCTCTGCTCAGAACCAGAACCAGAGTTTTACTGTCGTGATACAACGTGTAATGAAACTGTTCATGACTGATGCACCAGAAACAGTGAAGCTGGTTGATGACCTCCTGAAACACTCTGATCCAATCAGGAACGTTCCTGCTGGGTGTGGTGTCTGATGATTGGTTCCCATCCTGACGTCTGTTCAGCTGCAGCTTCATTCTAATTTATTTTATTTTATTTTATTTTATTTTATTGCATCGAACTCGTGTCACTTTAATACTTTTTAAAACCTGCATCTTTCATGTTGCGTTGACCTGATCTCTCTGTTTTCATCTCATGATCAGTGGTCACAGTAACTGAGTACATTTACTCGAGTACTTAGGTAAAGCTTTGAGGTGCACTTTAACAAATGAATGAGGTGCCGACAGCTCAGCAGCAGAACCGGGATGAACACCAGAACCAACGACAAGCTAAACGTCAAACCTGTGACTTGTTGTTGTTGTTTATCGACACAGAAACACTGAACATGTTGAACAAACGGTCCCATCTGAGGAGGAGGAACCAGAACTCACCTGTCTGGACCGCAGCACCTCCTGGTTCGGTTCTGCTGGTTCTGCCTCGGTGGAACAGAACCAGAGGTCCAGCTGCTCTGTTCTCCTCTGACTGTGACACACCTGAAGATTAGCAGCAGCTGGACCACCTGTTCACAGGTGTGTCTGACGTCACTCACTGAGCATGCGCAGTAGCTGCTGGTTGGAGGGTTTCATGTTTCTGCCTCGTTTGGTTTTAATGACTTTAATATTCAGATCCAACACGATGGAGACTCCTGGTCCCGAGCCGCTCCGGGATTTCCCAGCAGCCCCCGCCGCGGCTCTCAGCCTCGTAGTAAACAAGAGGACCACGTGGGGAGGAGCTGGCCGCTGATTGGCTGCGCTGCGCTGAGCAGGAACACACCCCACTGAGGTCTGTTGTTTACGGACTTGTGTTGTGGAGCTGCTGAGGTTCTCTGAGCAGCAGTACTCAGGTTATACTGCAGTACTCTGACACAGTACTGCAGTACTCATACAGAGGTGCAGTGTTTGTGCTGCATGTTTCATATTTAAACTATCAGTAAATGAATCTATTCTGAGCAGTTTGAAGGTTTTTATCTTCTGTTAGTACAACTCTGGTGTTTCTGCAGCTTCCAGCAGTGTGTTGCAGTAGTACTACATGTAGTACTACATGCAGTACGCGCAGCAGGGCAGTAGTACTACGTGTAGTACAGCACAGTGCAGGACGTGCAGTACTGGTTCTGGGTGTAACAAAGAGCAGCCTGTAGGCGGAGAGCAGGCATCAGTCATTACATAACGTGTGTGTGGAGCTGCACGTAGCGCACGCACACACACACACACACACACACACACACTCGTGCGCTACGTGCCTTTAAAGCTACAGACGCCTGTTGTTGTCCTGAGTCACACTTTAACCCAGTTCCAGTGTTTCTTTAAGCTGATTTCTCAACAAGCAGCAGAAAGGTTCTGATCCGATGTTCAGACCCTCAGAGCAGCTTCGGGCTCGTGTTCTGGTGTTCTGGTGTTCTGGTGTCTGGGTTCGTCCTGCTGGCTGGGGTGGGGTCAGGTCGGAGGACTCCCACTGAAACTGGGCTCCAGGGTCAAACACACACTCACACACACACACACACACACACATACACACACA